ACGTACCAGAGTGTGTGATGTTTAACGCGTGTACGTACCAGAGTGTGATGTTCAACGCGTGTACGTACCAGAGTGTATTCCGGCTCGTATCTGCAGCTGTGTGTTGGGTTTGTGGGGGATCCCGAAGGTGCGACAGACGCCCACCAGGTCCAGAGCCATGCTGGCGATCTCTGAGGCGTGGAGGATCCCGTTCTCCAGGGGAACACCAGAGACCACCATGTCTACAGAACCACAAAGAGATCCAGACCACAACAAGGTTCAGCTTTTGGTTTTTAGAGGCTGCTGTTGGAGCTCTGCTGTATTCAGTCCACCGCCTCTCACCAAATATTGGAAACACCTGAAGTAAGTCAGTAATACACCAGTGTAACAAGACGGCACGGAGGACAGAAATTAGTGGCAGCGCAGCAACCACAGGCAGTCAGTTCTGCAGATTTTTAATCCAACAAACCTCACCCAACACAAAACAACAGAAAACGTAGCTCAGTCCAGAGCTCAATCAGTTAACTCTATAACTAAACTAAAACAGCCGGGCCGCTAGCCGACTTAATCTTCTTCTCCTCTCGTCGTCTCGCCTCTGCTGCGTTTCTCTCCTGGCCATTTGTTCCCCTCCCTGATGAGGAGATCAGGATCAGGTGTGTCTCTTCCCACACCTGATCTCAATGCTCCCCTGAAGGAGAGGGTGGAGCCTTCTGGCAGGAATGTAGATGCCAGCCACTACCCTGCCCCTCAGGCCCTTACACCATATGTAATTATTACACTGTGTGTGTGTGTGTGTGTGTGTGTGTGTGTGTGTGTCACTCACAGGCGTCTCCGATGGTTTCCACCTTGTAGACGTCGTAGTTGTCGATGATGTCATCAAATGTGGTGTAGAGCTTGTTGAGGAAGTCTACGACCTGGTAAGGAGTGCTGCTGCTGGACAGCTGAGTGAAGCCCACGATGTCACTGCACACACACACACACACAGTTTAGACTGTAAAACTAAAAAATGGACCATAAGTTACTAAATGTACATCATGCTGTATTGAAGAAGACTTGAAACTAGAGATTGAGACCATAAACTCATGTTTACAATGTTTACTGAGGTAATAAATCAAGAGAGAAGTAGAGTCATTTTCTCATAGACTTCTATACAACCAGAGGAGTCGCCCCCTGGTGGACACTAGAGAGAATGCAGCTTTAACACATGAAGCTGGATTCACTCTTGATTAATGGATTTTGCCTCCTGGTCCTACCTGAAGAAGACGGTGGCACTGACGTAACTCTGAGCCTGCATCGGCTTTCCCTGCCGCAGGTCATCAGCTACCTGTTTAGGCAGCATACCTACGACACAAACATGCAATTAGTTTAACATTCTTCAGATACATTATGTTTTTGAATATATGAGTATTGTTACTACAGAATGTACACGATGGAGAAAGTTATAAATGTGTTCATGCTTGATTTTAATTGTTCCAATGATTACTGTTTGTGGAGGACTACTGTATAAATAACTGCATCATCTGCATATAGAGACATCTTAACTGGTTCAATGTTTGATGTGATGGACAGGTGATGGACAGGTGTGTATATCTATGTGTGTCCTACTATAAAGCAGCCTGTCTGTCTTCTGTTTCTCGTGCGTTAGATCCTGCGTCCGCTCTGCCACCAGTACCTCCAGGTGTTTACTGTACTTCTCCATCTGAAACAAACCATTCAAACTCAATGACATGACATGGCATGATGTCATGCATATAAAGTGCTGCTGTAATAATGACTCTGGATTCCAGGTTATCACCAGGTTCATCATCATGTCCACCGGGCTGACTTTGATGGGGTTGATCCGGTGAACAAACTTCTTGATTTGCTCAAAGGTGGGTCGGTGGACGGGGTTGTGAGAGCGACATCGTCGGATCAGCTATGGGAACACAGGAGGGACAAAAAAACGTCAGAAAAAGGTAAGAGAGAGAGATCTGATGTGAATGTGTTTATGAAGAAGTGGATGGTTTACTACTCTTACTTTATTTATTTATTTTAAAGAAATGGAGAAAAAGAAAACTGCTTCTTGAGGCTCCAGAATCTGATTTTTGTTGTTTGAGGAGTTCTATTAGAAAGAGTCAAATAGTGATAATCAAAGAGATGAAAGGACGTTCTCACCTCTACGTAGTCAGCCGGACAGGGACAGGTGTCGGCTTTACTGGAGATGAGCTCTGGTAGAGGAGGACAACAGGAGCTCTCCAGACTGGACTCCTCTACCTGTAAAGTATTCATGTATCTGTCCTCCATTCAGCCAGCGACACAATAACAGTTAGAAAGACATCAGACAGACGTGGACTTACTGGGACGGGGTCGCTGCGAGTGGCAATCTCCAGCAGAATGATGGAATAACTGGGAAAACACACAGAGGTTATGTGTGTGTGTGTGTGTGTGTGTGTATAGAGCATCAGGTTTTAGGGTTAATTCTTGTTCAAGAGGCCAGTTCACTCAGTCAGAGCTCCTTAGTTGTGTCACATGTTGTGTTCACACCAAACGCTACTCGTGGGATCATCTGTGTTTATTGATCACGGCTGAAAAACCCACTACTGCATCTTTGTTCATGTAGAGGAATGTTAATTCCCGTACATTCGTGTCTATTCCCGTCTTTGCATTGACTTTGTACGTTTTGGCGTCGTGCGAGGTGTCTGCTCGCCGTTTGCCGTGAACTCGGCAGTAGTTGAGGTGGTTCTGTTTGTGTTCTGCGTACCTGAACACGTCTCCAGCCAGCGTCGGCTCCATGTTGGAGTTCTGAAACTCGGGCGGCATGTAGACCTCCAGGACGCTCTGCTGATAGGTGGAAAGAGGCTCCGCGCCGTCGTCTCTGCGGTACGTTCCCAGCCCGTAATCTGACGGGATGGACCGTCTGTCATTCAACATCCGGAATAAAACGGTCCAATGAAACATACGGGCGTGCCTCGGTCTGCTCGCCTCACCTGTGATCTTGCAGACCCAGCGGTCGTCCAACACACAGTTCAGAGACTTGAGTCGGCCGTGACAGATCTTGTGTTGGTGCAGGTACGACGTCCCTCTGGCGATGTCTGTGGCGAAGGAAAACCTGGAAGGGAATCAAACCGTGGATTATTGCTTTTGTTCTTACCTCACTAACCCGATGTCATTATCAGCATCTGCAATGAAAGCGTGTCCACCTGAAGCCCCAGTTGAGTGGGACCTCCTCGTTAAGAAGAACGTCGTTAAGGCTTCCTTTTGGGCAATACTCCGTCACTATGGCGACGTCCGGCACCTCAACACAACCGCCGATGAACTTACAGAGGTTTGGGTGATCGAGCTCCCTGGGGGGGGGGGGGAGAGAGTCAAAGCACTGTATGGAAGCCCAAAAGTGACATTAAACGCCTCTACTTTTTACAGGATCGTGGCGTGTTTTTGAATTTTTGGGGGCTTTTTACGCCATTTAAAAGTGTTCTCCTGATGGTAACGAGCCCCTCCTTCTGTTTCCTAAGAGTGAAACAGGACCAAAGTAAAATGCTGCATGTTTTAAAGCCACTTTGTACACATTTCACAATAAGTGAAAATTATGCCGTGTCTGGATCAATACTTTAGCTTCTCATGCTGATGAATTCTCATTTCATTGCTGTGAAATAGAAATGCTCGTATAGAGCAGCGTTATTGACTGTTTACATGGTGTAACTCAGTGAAAAGTGGGAAATCGTGGTTTTAACATAAATGGGGTGAAAGTAGAGGCGTTTAACGTCACGTTGGAAACGTGACGATCACGTTGGAAACGTGACGATCACGTTGGAGGAGGTTTGTTACCTGACTTGTTTGACTTCCTGTCTGATGGTTTTGGACAGATAGAATGTCTTTGTTTGAATCCTCTTGATGGCCACCGTCCTGCCATCACTGGAGCACAAATGTGTTTTAATATATCATAATGATTTAGTTCCTCTAACATTCACTCCTTCCTGATACCGACTCAGATACTTTATAAAACTAAATATTAAAATAGATCATAATCACCTCTCTGATATCTATTATAAAACATCTCCTTACATTTGAACACATCATGACTTAACTTCACCCAAGACTCATTTTCACTGAACAGAACTTGAACGCATCGTGACGTAACTCAATGCAACCTCCATTAACGTTAGCCGTTAGCTCCGTATTATTGCCAAGCAGGACTGTGCTGCTAACAGCTAATATATATGTATATGTATATGTATATATATATGTATATGTATATATATATATATATATATA